GAGCTGGGCCCTCTCTGGAGAAGAAACATGGGTTTCCAAAAATATGAGATCAAAGCCCAGGCCTCGCCAGCAGGTGAGGAGTTCCCGAGGCAGGTGCTGGGTGTGGAGCTCATGGGGGCATAGGCTACCAAGGAGACAGAACTAAACCTCCCATTACCCTGCTTGGCCCTGGAGGATGGCTGGTTAAGCCAGAGACAGGTAAGATTCCTCAGGGAAGGAATAATCTAAGACAGGCACAGTCGCAGAGGGGCCATCAGGAGAGAACTTGGGGGTCAACAGAGGTGGGGCACAGACCCTTACCACCCCCTCGCCCCCGCAATGTGGCAGGCGCCTGAACCTTCTCCCATTCTGAAGGAGGTCTCCTGCCCCCATGGCTGCTTCACTTCCCATGCACAGCTCAAATTGGGACCCAGGTAACAGACAGAGACTTGGCTGACAGCAGCTGCCCTCTCACTGCAACAAGACTTGAGAGGTCTTGTACCCATGGTGTGGGCAAGTGGGTTTTTAATATCCAAGTCCAGTCTAGTAGCAGGAATGCTCAGACCCTTCTCAAGAAGGCAAATTATCAATTCCACTAATACACACATGGTAAATAAGATTGTTGCTAGAGTGTTGAGTCTGACAGATGAATAGTAGCCAATTTCTTACAGGAAATTAATGTGGCTAATGGAAATAAATGAATATTCTAGAAAACTGAATGTACTGTACAAAAAGCTGTTCCTAAAGTATTAACAAAAATTCTTATTGGCAGAGCATTTTATGGTAAAATTGCACAACATGTTATGAACCTAAAGCAGTCATAGTGTAGCGCAAATAATTAAAATGTAAAAGCTATCAAGACTACATTATAAAATTTCCAAAAGTCTCCTATTATTTAAAGTAAAAAAGGGGGTGACAGTGGAAGAATATCATGTAAAGAAAAATATCCTGAGAATAATTTACATTAAAAAATTTGTACTTTCGAAAATTAACCTTTACCTGAAACGCATGAAAATACACACATGGTGTCAAAACAAGCCAGAGGAAAATTATTTGGGGGGAAAAAATGAAAAAGAATCCCAAGTCAAATTTAAAGAAAATATCCCTTTATTAACTTTTGGTCAAGAATATGTTTGTATATATTCAGAAAACAACTCCAAGACCATCTGGAATCCTGTAACAGAGAGGAATAGACAGAAGTGCTCCAGCCATGAAGACAGAAGAGACACAATTCAGAGATGGAAGATGCTGACGATGCATCACCATACCAGTAGACAGAAGCTGCATGTTGCTGAAGGACGCCCAGGATCAAACCAAAGACGGACGGACCTGCATTACCACAATTTGTCCACCAACCAGATCTGAAATATCATGGCTGGCATGTACATATAAGGAACTATTTGACATTGAAATTGGGACTTAAAAGAACTGTTGGCCCAGAAAGGAACTCACTACAGACTGATTCATTTGCCTCTCAGCATAATCATTATTGCTTGTCGCCAGTTTAGGTTCTTACAAGGGTATTTCTTGGATCACATGATCTCACACATCTAGAGGAAATAATGAACAACATAAACTGATAAATAAAAAAAGATCCAGAGAAAGAGAAGCAGTGATCAGACTCTCAAACCTCAGAAGAAAAGTAGGGGAGGGTGGGGGTAAGGAGAAGAGATCAACCAAAGGACTTGTGTGCATGCATATGGGCCTAGCCAGTGGCCATGGACAACAGTGGGGTGGGACATATGTAGGGAGGGGTTTGGGATGGAAATGGGGGGATAAGGACAATTATGTGATACCATAATCTAAATAAATAAATAAATAAATAAATAAATAAAAATAAAAAACTAAAAAAAATTTTTTTTTGACCTCCTGGTTCATAGGTTGATGCTCAACCACTGAGCCATACTAGCTGTGCATGTATTTAATCACACTTTGGTCACAATGATATGAGGAAATAATAAACACTTGTAAAGAATTCTAGTGGAAGTAAATTGGTATAATTCTCATGGAAGGCAATTTGGCAATATCAAATATGCTTTTTCTGCTCCTATCTAGCCAATTTTACTTCTGAGTAATATACATATGTACTTGCTTATGGACAAAATAAAATCATGTACAAAGTCACTGGTTGCAGGCCTATATGGAATAGCAAAGGGTAATGCACCATTGAAAAAATTCAGATTCAGCTGGGACAGGTTTGGCTCAGTGGATAAAGCGTGGGCCTGCGGACTGAAAGGTCCCGGGTTCGATTCTGGTCAAGGGCATGTACCTTGGTTGCGGGCACATCCTCAGTGGGGGATGTGCAAGAGGCAGCTGGTCGGTGTTTCTCAACGACGTTTCTAACTCTCTGTCCCTCTCAATTCCTCTCTGTGTAAAATCAATAAAATATATTTAAAAAAATAAAAAAATAAAATCAATACATTAAAGAAAAAAAAAGAGAAAAAATTCAGGTTCAATAAATTGAGGTGCCCACACATTCCTTTTAACAACACGGCTGTGAAATGACGAGAATGTTTTCCAAGTGATGACAAAAAAAAGATCTTCAAAATTTGCTTGTGAGAAGTATTTGAGATCTTGCTCCCTAGCATATGCCATCAGCTTGGCTCAAATAAATTCTTATAGAAAAATTTAAAAACCCAATAAAACAAATCCACTTAGTAAAAAAGAACGAAGTGTAGAATGTGTATTTAAGTATGCTATGATATATATTTTTTTTATTAAAAAGGCTTAAAAATAAGGACATATTCCCGTGTGTGTGTATTAATATTTTATGAATATATTAACCATTATAAAGGTTAAATAATAATAAAATGAAAGGGTAAATAACTTGCCTAAGTTCATAAAGCTAGTGAATGGCAAAGCCAGCATTTTAACTCAGGTTCCCCAAGTCTATTATATGTTCTTAAGCAGGAGGTCAAAAAAACACCCATCACCCTCTCAAATTTTTTTAATCACTGTAGCCGTCCCAAGGCAGGAATGAACACGTGATGCCTGGAGGTAAAGGAGTTAAGCTCCCCCACTTTCCTTTTTCTGAGCTTCTTGACATTCAGTTGAAAGCAGCTGAGCTGGGCTTTCAGTTTTCCTCTTTGAGTTCTACTGTAGACCATTCACTCCCAACTTCCCCATTCTAGAAGGAGAAACAGCCCATGAACCCATCAGATGTATTGCCATATTTCTAACCTAGGAGGAGATCCTGTTCCAGAACAGTTCCGGTTCGTTATTTAGATCTTGAAGGACCTAAATCTGAGTGACATGACAGCCATGCCCCTGAGCCCAAAACAGCTGGTCCTGCTGGACAAAGGCACATCTTTGCAAGGCCTCATGAGAGTCAGGGCCAATGAGGGCCCTATGTGCTGCCCACATAGTTACCTGATGCATAATGCTGCTCATGAGCTCCCTATTGGTCATACTGGCCAGCTCTAGGTGAATTGGAATACCAACGGGGATGTCAGAAATGGAGGTCACAACCTGTAAAAAAAAGACAGCATTGCTATTAGATATAGAGGTCAGACAAAAGGAAGAAAAAATCAGGTTCTAGAGGCAGTGTGTATTGTTAATGTCTTCTTTACATCCTCATGAAAACTAAGCTATGTAGGCCTCTGTGGATGAGGGATGCTTTTCCTAATTGGAACACCTAGGATCAGCAGAGAAGCACTGGATTACAGACTCAGAGAGCACAAAGGACTGCCTCTGTATGTTCATGTAGTCAGCCTATTTCTGGGGACCTACACTGAGCAGTTGGCTTCAACTTCTGTATGAGTCTGCAACAATAGCTGATGGGAAGTGAGCTGACACAGATAATACAAAGGACACAAACTATAAACATTGCAGCTTTCAGCCACATTCAGTTTAGCACGGGATATAGAGGCTTAGGCAGTAAAATGTTCTGACCTATCCTATTCAAGCTGCTGCCTGTGTCTGAAAGAATACTGTGAGGTGCCTCCCTAGAGCAAGAGGCAGGTTCAGAGCCATCTGCCCTGATATCTCCTGAGAAGGCCAGAACTGAAGGCAAAGCAGCATAAGCTATAAAGGTCAAAAGAAGCAGGATTCTGAAGAAACATACTACTGAGATGTGTGAAATTCTAGAAGTGTTATTACCTCCAAGAGTCTCTTTCTCTGGAACTCCTTGCTTTGTCCCTCCATCATGTGCAATCCAGAGAGGACCACCAGGTCTGGCTGAAACTCCTCCAGGCTAGACACAAACACCTCCAGCATATTCATAGCCCCGTTGGAAAGGTCGTGGGATAAGATGAATCGGTTGGCATGAGGAGCTTTTAACTGGCCCCACTCCTCCCCTAGAAAAGCCCAGACAACACAATGGGAAGAAAAGGAAGAGGCTTTAAGTCTCCTAGCTATGGGAAAGGAGGGTTTGCAGCCCCCCTCACCCCCCAGCCTTTTCTTGGGGGAGGCTGGCTTCTGGCTGAGGAGAACCTCACTATAATGACCTAAGGTAAGCACAGCATTGCATCCGTAAAGGCAGTGGTCAGTAATGAAACAAATCTAAAACACAGAAACACAGTATGGGTACTATACACCTTTATCAAAGGGTAGCAATTAGTTCACCCTGAGTCCCAGGAAAGCTCTGCTGTCCATTGAGCTTTTCAAACACAGGATGCCTGTATCCTTTCCCAGTTAGAGGACAGTAGCATTACTTACAAATATCAGGCTACAGTGCATAGCACACATGTCCCTGCACACAGCAATGCTGCCTTTCTCTGTCTCCACCTCACAGCAATGTCCTGAGCACCTTTCACTTAGTTGGGACCGAAGAAGGCTGAAATTCCAAGAGTCCAGCTGACTGCACTCCCTCCCCCCTGCTGCCCACCGGTGGTTTCCAGGCACTTGGTCCAAAAGATAAGAGCATCTGATTGCTCTTAAATCCTTTGAGTGAGGTGCTCTGGAATGACTGCTCAAGACCAAGTTCAAGTGCAACTTCATGAATGATGTGACTGCTCCAGCCTGAAATACACTTTTAGTACTTCAAGCATCCACAGATATTTTCCTTTCCATCGTCTGTGGTAATCATTTTGCTTTGACTTATCTCTTCTACTACTGAGAACTAGTAGTCAAACCTCAATCATTTTTCATACATTTGTGCTACATCTCCCTGAACAAATTGCCAGTTCTATAAAGGTAACATGTATGTCTGGTTCCCACAGCATTTGTCACAGCTCCTGGCATAGAGTGCCCATTCAGCACCTACTAATCTGATCCCAATAGAGCAAGCATGTCAAACTTGCAGTCCCCAGGCTGCATGTGGCCCACAATGAATACTTTTGTTGTCCAGCCCATATAACGGTATGTAAGAAACATTTTAATAAAATTTTGTATCTTAATTTTTTCAATATTCTGTTATACATAGATACTAGTAATGAAATACAATGTTCGTTAATGACTGATTACTATAATTATATTGCATTCATTTCCTTACATGCCTTAGGCACAGGTTCACCATTTTTCTCCATTAATACTAGCAGCATTGTTTGGTGTGCGCAACAGGAAATATTTTGCTTTTGGAAAACAAGAAAAATAGGTTAATTTGTGTTATGCTTATTTGTTTGTGCAGTTATTCAGGTCTGGTAAGTTAATGTTTAAGAAAATATATTAATTTTTATTAAAATGTTCTATTATTTTATGCTAACAAATATTTATTTCAGCCCTATGTATTCAGCATCTCTCTATAAAAATAAAATGTTTCTATAAAGTTGAAGTTTTTGGGTTTTTTTGGTGGCCCACATAAACGTAAACCTTGTTTATGTCCTGTGTTAGCCTTTGAGTTTGACATGCTTGTTGTTGAGGGAGGCAGATCAATCCTGGGGTGGGTCTTCTGACAGTGGGAGGAGTTTGGATCTGCACATCTATAGAAGTGGCTCTCAGCACTGGCCATGTATCAGAATCCTCCAGGGAACTAGCTTTAAATGTGCAGGTGATGAGGCCCCATCATGGGAGATCTTGGCAGGCAGTTACGTGGAGAACTACTAATTGAGGCCTCACTGCTGCCAAGTACAAGATAGGAGTGCTGCACTGTGAGTCCTAAAGCAGGGAAGAGGACAGCAGCCCTCTCTGAGCTTGCCTCGTGATGCTATGCAATCAGAGGCTTTACCACACAGAGTTCATCTTCTTGTCCATAAAGACTTGGCAGAAAATCTTGAAATGAAGTCAGCTGAAGCTATACAACTGCTTAGGGCAATTCTTACATGAGGCTACCCCCCTTAATGGGGGCGGGTGAGGGGAAACTTATCACCACCAGCAGGGACACTCTGGGGCAAGAACTTAGTATAATTCAGGTTTACGTGGCTTTCCCTCACATGAAAGATTTGTCCCATTTATACAAGGGAAGCCCATATGCTGAAAACTAGTTGAAAAACTTGGTTTCTATCACATTTACTGGATATTACTCCAGAAAGTTTTCTCCTAAGACAAACAACCCATAGCAGATGGTTTCTTCATCTTGCAGGTGATCTGCCAACTGCAGTTAGCAACCTCCTTCCTCCTTTCTACAATGGCCTCTTCAAATAGAAGCTCTGCCTCTCTGTGGAGAGCACCTGCATGCACACATGTGTAGGGCTTACTCTAGGGCAAGTGTCAAAGCTGGGAGAATCCATCCTTTAAGTTCAGCTTTCTTTTTTTCAAAATTGATTTTAGAGAGAGACCAAGGGAGAGGGGGAGAGAAACATTGATAAGAGAGAGAAGCATCGATCAGTTGCTTTTTCTACACACCCCAACTTGAGCTCGAGCCTACAACCTGGGCATGTGCTCTGACTGGGAATCGACCTGGCAACCTTTCAGTGCACAGGATGACACTCAACCAACTGAGCCATACCAGCCAGGGCAATCAGTTTTCTTGAATTCATTCCTCTGAAGAAACATTTAATTGTGGGTAAACCTCAATGCAATGATTATATTTGTTAAAACTATATTCTTTTCTTAGCTCCTGGTCATGTCCAAACAAAATACCCAATGGTGGTCCACAGAGTAGAGTGTAGTAGTCTAGCTCTACTTCATTTAAAGAGCAGACACCAGGACGACCTCCCCATGAATCCTTTCCTCTGCCACCCCCAATGACTTCCTTTTCTGCACTATAGCTGCACCCAGTTGTAGGAATTGGCACTTTACTTTGCAATCATTTGTTCAGGAATCTGTCTCCTGCAGTGGATGGTAGCAGAGGGCAGAGTAGTGTCTCCTACTATCATCAGACTCCTGCTCACACCGGACCTGGGACTCAGCCACATGAACAAACAGCAAGATACATGAGCAAGAGAACAGACTCTAATGCCCACAACAACAAAAAATATGTGTATGAACTCCAAGTCCAATATTTCCCCCATGTGCAGTGATGAGTTGTACATGGGGAAAAGATGTGGCATTAGTATTCTCTGCAGGGCAAGACCAGGAACTGGCCCTTAAAGAGTGAAGCTGCTAAGACACACTGCCTAAGTTAACTTAGGGGGAAAAAAGCCACACAGACTTCAAAATAAATAAATTCCCTCAGCAAAAAAATGAACGAGATAAAAAATAAATAGGCTTTTGCAACGTGAAGACAAGGAGAGATGTGAAGGGCTCTACACTGGCTGGCTGCACAGGGCTGATGGAGCTAAGAAGCAAAGTAACTGAAACTTAGAAAGTGTATGCTCCTAATAATAGGTTAATGCCCCTCTTTTCTCATAAAGCTTTGAATTTATTTAAGCGATTTATTCTATCAATTTATCATCCTGCCCTTCAACCACTGAGTAAGCAAAACCTATGTTATGACTCATTGGATCCTTGGCCCAATGACTGAAAATAAGCTTCTCTGGAGATGTCTAACAAGAGAGGATGAGGGAAAAGTTGACAATTCTTCCTGGGAATTTATTCATCCAGGTTAGAGAGAAGTAGGAGATGGACTTCTGTTAAGAGAGCTGACCCAACAGCTGCTGCCACCAGACTAGATTCCCTACAGAGTCTGATAAAAATTAAGTTTAATAAAAGGTCTGCTTTATTCTAAAAAACATAGCCAAGAAAAGAAAAATTGAAGTGCAAGCTTCTCAACCCAAAGATGAAGACAGTTTCCTGTGAAGATCAGCTGTGCCATATATGTAAGGCACATATGTCAAATACAACAGCAGTCTTCGTGAGGAAACTGTCTCTCCACTTTTTCCCCCCAAGGGAAATGACAGAAACCAGGAACCAGAAAGGTCCCAAGTCCAGAATGTGAGTGACAACAGAAATGGAAGTGAGAACATGGAACTGGCAGTAGCATCAGCAGCACATCAAAGACACACCTTTTTTATTCTAGATTCTTTCAGTCAACAATCTTGTTCATGCCTTTCATTTGAGCAGTTCATAGTGCTTATACACAGTATCCTAATTTTTACCACAATCTTCAGGCAGTAAGAAACATCACTCTGATTTCCCATTTGGGGAAACTAAAGCCAAAAGTAGCTCAAAACTTATATATTATTAAATGTGAGCTGCCTGCGCTAACAATCGGTCCCTAATTTTCAGGCCCTGACTGATTCTAGGAAATACCCCAAACAGGGATTGTTCTTGAAGAAAGGCATAATTTTCAGGAAGCACTATATTTCATAATTTACATTAAAGTTAATTATTCTAGTAGGTGAGGTTCTCTTAATTTCTGACTTGGAAGCAGTTCACTGAAGCATATTAAATACATACTGCTTTAAGGTGCCAATTAGTCTGTTTCGATGTTTAAGTCTTTAACTTGAATTAACGTGTTGAATCAGAAATTCAAGAGGTTGGCTTCAGAGCAGAGGAAAGATACCGCAGCAAATACACAGAACTAAATTATGTTCAGGTATTTAGAATTCTTTCAGAAATTAGATCTGCAGTCTGTGTAACAAAATATACTGGGGGAGGGGAGCTAGATGGAGTGGTTTGGAGTGATAAACATTGAGACATTATATAATAACAGGGAATAATATGCATTGTTAAATATGTAACACTTCCAGTTATACACCCAAGTGAAAACAAAACAATTCAAAGAAAGTTTGCCAGAGGCCCAGAATCAAATCTGAGCAGTTTGAAAACAGTTGCCCAGAAAAGCCTTGGACAGAATCTAGCACAGAGTTGAATAGGTATTATCTGCCTTTTTCTTTCTTTGTAATAAAGAAAAACTTTATAGGTATGTATTTAAGATGCCTGTTTTCCTACATCTTGATTCCTCTTGGTTTCAGATCAATTCTGTTTATTGATCTGGAAGTTTTCTTCACTGTTGTAATATTCTAGCACTCTCCCTTGAGACAATAGCCAGCATCAATGCAGCAAACCTGTGGTAAAGCAAGAACAGGGGATCCTACTACTTTACACAGAGAAATCTGTAGCATAATTACTCCTCAATATAACATTATACACTCCCCTGCCGAGTCTTACACTGTTACTTACTCATTTCTCTTACCTGCTTGATACTCTAAAATTAGGTGGAACTCATCCACTTCTTGCAGTGACTCTGGAGGAACAAATACATTGTCATCAAGAAGTTCATGCAGTTTTGGACCAACTGGACCACAAAGAAGAACCTGGAGACAAGAAATATGAAGTCTATCAGATTTGTTCCTTTTTCCATAGAATCTGTATAGTAACCAAAAAGATACATTGAGGCTCCTTCTTTTCATTTTAATAAAATACTGGAATCCCAATCTAATTTTGAAAAGTTATGTAATAGAGGGACTATTATCAGGGTCTCAGCCTCTGGAATATATGGCCACAATGTACCCAGAAATAAGACCCTACAAAAGACCCATATCACACATGCTAGGTCCTATGCAGCTGCTAGGGACTGCACATCAATGTCCCTCCAAAATTCATACGTTAAAGTCTCATTGCAATGTGATAGTATTTGGAGATAGAGCTTTTAGGAGGTAATTAAGGCTAAATGAGGTCATATGGGTGAGGTCTTATAGGACTGGTAGCCTTATAAGAAAGAGATTTCTCTTTTTCTACAATATACACACTGAAGAAAGGCCATGTGAGGTCACAGCAAAATGGGTTGCCATCTGTAAGCCAGGAACAGGGCCCTCACCATAAACCAAACATTTCTGGAACCTTGACCTTGGACTTTCCAGCCTCCATACTGTGAGAAAATGAATTTTTGATGTTTAAGCCACTGGTATGTGACATTTTGTTATGGCAGACTAACTCACATCCTGTGTAGGAAAATAGATATGGAATGTTATAAATAATTCTGTTTGAATTGTACAGAGTATAAAAAAACAAACATCAAGGATCACAATACTCTCCACAACCAGGTGACCTGACTTATGAGACCAGGCCTACTATACTTAGCTGTTATGTGAATAGAACAGTTTTCCAAATATGAAAATTAAAAATTACTACAATTCAGAAAGTTTGGGGGCAGGTGCTCTGCAATTTTTCCAAAACCTTTTCTTCAACTCTCCCAGTCTATTCTTTTTAGAAGCTATTTCACAATACTGCTGTTTCTGCCATGCCAGTTCTGGACCTCACTCAGAGCCAGTCCAACAGACTCAAAACCATTGAATGAGGGCTTGGACCACAATTTAAAGGAAAGTACAAAGAGATAACACCATTTGAGATCTAATATGCTCCACCCAGAAGCTTCAAAGGCATTTTTACTTGCCAACTGGATGCTTGTATATACAGAGGCACTTTTATGTGTCTGAGAAATCCCAGCTTCTGAGTGAAAGGAAAATATGCCTCTCTCTCCTTGACCTACTTACTGCTCCCTTTCAGCCTTGACACATGTCCATTATTTGCCAATTCTGAAAAGTCTTGCCCCTAACATTTTATTTTATTGAATTCTTGACTAGAACTTCAGTTTTCAAGATAAGGTAACAAGGGAAGATACAAAATGGCGGAAGAATAGATGGACGGGTTCTGAGCCTTGTCCCGAAGCAGAGAGAACAGCTGAGGGTCTCGCTGGGAGTGTTTGTTAGCAAGCTAAGAGATAGGTGAACTCCAGAAAAAGGTGGGGGACTGCTAATTAGAGTGCCCCTGGCTGGGAAGCACCCATGGCAGGGCTGGGTCCCCTCCCGGAGTACCTACAGGCTTGGATGGGGAAATCTCTCCATCTTTAAAGAAAAAATGGATCTTGTCAGAAGCCTGAATACCCACAGCCTCACGACCACCCAGCAGCTGTGAAACCCAGAACACCGGTCCTAGGAGGCACGAACACTTGGACTCAAAAAAGCGCTCCACAGCACGACGAAAAGGTCAGATTTCACGGAGATAGGGTGCGTCCCCTGAAGACAGAAGCTGGAGGACTGGGGCGGTGTTTACAAGGAGAAGCCCAGGGCTGTTGGTTTGGTGTCACCAGTGATTGTGGACGGGGCTCTTATAGGGGGGATATATAAAGATATCAACCCATTTTGATCTGATGCAGAGGGATAGCCAGCGAGCTTCAGGCAGTGTAGTCGGCTCAGACTTGCCCACCAATTTCTGCAGATCAGTGGAGTGTTATAGAGGGGAAAAAAAGCTAGAGAGGCTTTAGAGCCCTGAAAGTCAACTCAGAAACACTGCCACCCAGAGGCTAAATCACAAATTGACCCTAGTGTAATAAAAAATCAAAGCAAGGCCTGCTTAAAAATCAGGACTGGAATATAACACTGAGGAGTAGAGAAACGCAGGGAGCTGCAATACTGTTCGGACTGGGAAATAGTCGTGCCAAACAGAACGGAAGTGAATGACTTTTACTAATGAACATTTTAATTTTTATTTTTGTTTTTATTTTCATTATTTGCAACATTTACTCAAGAAACCATTTTCTTGCCAAAACAGGTTTGGCTCAGTGGTAAAGAGTCGGTCTGCGGACTGAAAGGTCCCGGGTTCGATTCCGGTCAAGGGCATGTACCTTGGTTGTAGGCACATCCCCGTTAGGGGGTGTGCAAGAGGCAACTGGTCGACGTTTCTCTCTCATCAATGTTTCTGGCTCTCTATCTCTCGCCCTTCCTCTCTGTAAAAAATCAATAAAATATATTTAAAAAAAAAACAAGAAAAAAAGAACTATTTTCTTATTTTTTCCTCACTTGATTTTACCTTTTTAATTATTAATTTTTATTTGTAATCAGCATTACTACTACTACTATTTTATCTTTTTTATCTTATTTACTTTTGTTTATTTTTATAATTATTTTTTAAGTGTCATATTATTTGCTCTTTATTTTACTTCAGGATTACTGTTCTATAGTCTATTTTTACCTTTCCTTCACCAACGCTTTATTCTATCTCAACCTTACCTTTATGCCATCACTCTCTTCCTAACCTTTCCTTCTTTAGTGTCCGGTTTATCTTATTCCTTTCCTGCTCTAGATTTTTTTTTATTATTTCTGTTAACCCCTTGCTAAAATTTCACCCTCCTTGTGTATATCTAATTTCCAACCTCCTGCTCCAAGCCCATACACATCTCCCTATTCACTGTCCTAAAAAAACAAACAAAAAAAAACAAAAACAAAAAGTCTTTCTATCCTTTTGTACTTGTATGTTGAATGTTAACTATATCAAAATTTTATGTTTTTGTGAGATTGTTTTGCTTATTCTTTATGTTTGATTCTATGTTTTTGTTAGCTGTGTTTTAGTTAGTTTTTACTTCTGCTTTCCCTTTCCTTGCTTGACATTAGTTGGTGTTGTAAGTTGTATTAATCTCCAGATACCTGTTGCTAGCATTTGCTGTGATCAAGGGTTGTTCTATTGGAGTTTCCTTCCCATATATATATTTAGTTCCTTGTTTCTCTCTTAGTATTGTTCTAGTTTCTCTCTCTCTCTCTCTCTCTCTCTCTCTCTCTCTCTCTCTCTCTCCCTCCCTCCCTCCCTCCCTCCCTCCCTCCTTCCTTCTCGCAATTTCATTTTGCCACTCCTTTTTTTTTTTAATTCTTCTATCTCTCCAACTCCCTAATTTGTCTTTCTCTAATGGTCACCTTTATTGGAGGTTATTAATATCGCAAATACATTTCTGTTCAGTGCCTTGTGTGTTGTACCTGGCTGTGTTGTATTTTGTGCCTTTAAATTAACGCAGGAGAGAAAGAACTGCATAACCAGACATGCTGAAAAGAGAGATCATGGGGAGACAAAGAAACAGCCCGTATATGAAAGAAAAGCAGGCATCGCCAGAAAAGGAAGTAAACAAGTTAGAGGCAAGCAACCTATCAGAGCAAGAATTCAGAGTAATGTTCATAAGATGGCTAAAAAGAATGGAAGACAAATTTGATAATATGAGTAAGAACCAAGAGGAAATGAAAAATGACATTGCTACTGTAAAAAACTCAATAGAGAGCATCAAGAGTACACTAGAAGAAGAAGAGGACCCCATCAGTGAGCTAGAAGACAAGATAGAAAAAAATACCCAATTAAAGCAGCTTCTGGAGAAAAAAAATTAAAAAGCAGGAGGAGAGCCTAGGGGAACTTTGGGACAATACAAAACAAAAAAATATTAGAATAATAGAGGTTCCAGAAGGAAAGGAAACCAAGGAAGGCAGAGAAAAAATGTTTGAAAAAATAATGACAAAAAACTTTCCTGAGATAGAAAAGAAAAAACCCACACAAATCCAAGATGCTTGAAGAGTCCCAAGCAAAATGAATCCCTAAAGACTGACACCAAGGAACATTATAATTAAATTGGCAAACACCAATGACAAAGTAAAAATTTTAAAAGCAGCCAGAGAGAGACAGAAAGTTACATATAAAGGAACCCCCATCAGACTAGCAACTAATTTCTCAACAGAAACTCATCAGGCCAGAAGGGAATGGAATGAAATTTAAAAATTCATGCAAAGGAAGGGTCTGAATCCAAGAATACTGTAACCAGTAAGGCTATCAATCAAAATTGAAGGTGAAATCATGAGCTTCACAGACAAAAACAGATTAAGGGAATTTCTCACCACCAAACAAGCAATGCAAGAAATGCTAAAGGATCTGCTATAAAAATAAAGAAATAGGAAGTGAAGAAGGAACTCAGGGGTATAGGAAAAAAAACGGTGACAAATAAGTATGTATCAATAATATCTTTAAATGTAAATGGATTAAATGCTCCAATCAAAAGACATAAGGTAATAGATTGGATAAGAAAACAAGACCCATATATCTGCTGTCTACAAAAAACCCATTTCAGAAACAAAGACACGCACAGACTGAGGGTGAAGGGATGGAAAAAGGTTTACCAGGCGAATGGAACTGAAAAAAAAAAAAAAAAAAGCTGGGGTAGCAATACTTATATCTGACAAATTAGATTTCAAAGTGAAGGAAATAATAAGAGATAATGAAGGCTACTTCATAATACTAAATGGAGCAATCCCACAAGAAGAAATAAACCTGGTAAACATATATGCACTCAATACAGGAGCACCCAAATACATAAAAAAGCTGCTGGAGGACATTAAAGGAGAGATTAATAGCAAGACAATCATAGTAGGAGATTTAATGCCCCACTATCATCACCTTTGGACAAATCATCTAAACAAAATCAGCAAAGAAACATCAATCTTCAATGACACACTAGACCAGATGGAATTAATCGACATCTTCAGAACATTCCACCCCAAAGCCACAGAATATACATTCTTCTCAAGTGCACATGGGACATTATCAAAGATAGACCACATGTTGGGACATGGGCAAAGTCTCTTCAAATTCAAGAAGATAGAAATTATATCAAGCTTCTTCTCAGATCATAATGGCATAAAACTGGAAATTAACTGCAATAAAAATAATCCAAAGAAATCAAACACATGCAGACTAAACAGCATGCTATTAAACAAAGACTGGGTTACCAGAGAAATCAAGGAAGGAACTAAAAACATCCTGGCAACAAATGACGATGAAAACACAACAATCCAAAATCTATGGGACACAGCAAAAGCAGTTTTGAGAAGGAAGTTCATATCTCTACAAGCCTATTGCAAAAAGCAAGAAAAAATGGTAACAAATTATCTAATTCTATAACTCCAAGAGTTAGAAAAAGAGCAACAAGAAAAGCCCAGTGTAAGCAGAAGGAAGGAAATAATAAAAATCAGAGCAGAGAGAAACGACATAGAGACCAAAGAAACAATACAAAAGATCAACAAAACCAAGAGCTGGTTCTTTGAAAGGATAAACAAGATAGATGAACCTCTAGCCAGCCTAACCAAGAAACAAAGAGAGAGGACCCAAATAAACAAAATCAGAAAGGAAAGAGGTGAAATAACAACAGACCCAAAAGAAATACATAGGATTGCTACAAAATACTATGAACAACTCTATTCCAACAAACTGGACAACCTAAAGGGAATAGACATATTCCTAGAAAAATATAACAAAACTCAATCAGGAAGAATCTAAAAATCTCAATAGATCAGGGCCTTTGGAAGAAATTGAAACAGTCATCAAAAAGTTTCCAGTAAACAAAAGCAAGGTGGCTTCACAGGAGAGTTTAACCAAACATTCAAGGAAGAACTAAAACCTATCCTCCTCAGTCTATTCCAAAAAATCCAAGAGGAAGGAACACTTCCAAACTCCTTCAATGAAGCCAGCATCACCCTAATACCAAAACCAGATAAAGACAACACAATGAAAAAGAATTACAGGCCAATATCCCTCATGAACATACATGCCAAAATCCTCAACAAAATTCTAGCAAATTGGATCAAGCAGTACATCAGAAAGATGACCAAGTAGGATTTATTCCTGGAATGCAAAGATGGTACAATATCCACAAATCAGTAAATGTGATACATCACATAAACAAACTAAGAGATAAAAATCATAGTCATATCAATCGATGCAGAAAAAGCATTTGATAAAATCCAACACCTTTCCTGATAAAAACACTCAATAAGGTGGGAAAAGAAGAATCATACCTCAACATAATAAAAGCTATATATGATAAACCCACCGTAAACATCATACTCAATGGGCAAAAACTAAAACCATTCCCTCTAAGAACAGGAACAAGACAGGGATTCTCACTCTCACCACTCCTGTTTGACATAGTACCGGAAGTACTAGCCTTCGCAATTAGGCAGGAAGAAGAAATAAAAGGCATCTAAATTGGAAAAGAAGAAGTAAAATTGTCCTTATTTGCAGACGACATGATATTGTACATAAAAAAACCAAAAGACTCCATCAAAAAACTAATAGACTTAATAAATGAATTTGGCAGAGTAGGAGGATACAAAATTAATGCCAAGAAATATATGGCATTTCTATACACCAATAGTGAACTTACAGAAATAGAGACTAAAAAAGCAATGACATTTACTATCGCACCAAAAAAATTAAGATACCTAGGACTAAACTTAACTAAGGAGGGAAAAGACCTATAGGTAGAAAACTACACAACCCTGAAAAATAGATAGAGGAAGATGTAAACAGATGGAAGAACATACCATGTTCATGGATTGGTAGAATCAACATCATCAAAATGTCCATACTTCCCAAAGCAATTTAGAATAGGTTAGAATAGTTCCATTTATTAGCTGTGTTGTTCTATGCCTTAAGCTTCATGTGGAAAGATAGTAACAGTACCAACACCAATATTAGCCTTAAAGATTGTTGCAAGAATTAAATGATATAATCTATGTAAATCACTAAAAAAAAAAAATAAGAGGAAAAGACAATGTCAGACACAAAGTAAGCACTCAGGAAGCATTAGCTGCTACGATTCTCCTACTATTATTATACTGGCTCCTAACAAGGTGGTCTGTACGGTGAATAAAATATTCATTCTTGCTCCTAAAATTATTGAAAAGTAGTGGAAGGGACAGATTTTAATCTGGGAATTTGACCTACCTTTAGATCTGAGTTGGCTGCAAATTTCTGTCCAATTAAAGCTGCATTTCCTCCTACATAGTGCTGTAAGATACCGTAGTTCAAGGTTATTAGACATACTTAGCACAACTATGTTATCAAACCTTAATAATTCTTAAATTTTGAATTATATTTTTTTCCAAAAAATATTTTGAGGTGACTTTACAAGGACACTGAAGTGAAGCTAATAAAACATTAAATCCACAGGTAAATGGACTATGAGTTATAAGGAAAGGTGAAGAAAACAAATATGCTAACCATGGAAATTGGTATAATTGCCTTAACCCTGGATCAAATTTGGCCTTGAACTTCTAGGCAGACAGAACAGATAAAGGAAACAGGACAAGTGTGCACAGATCTTATCTTCTATAATGTAATCCTTCTAAGAGTTTATGATTATGTCACTCGCCTTCTGAAAGTCATCCAATAAACATACAATGAATTGAAACCCAACTCCTAAGTGAGGCACACAGGGCTTCTTTAGCTGCCCCTGCTCTCCTTTCCATCTTCCACATCGTACTTGCAGTTCTCCAAGTTTGTGTTCCTCTGTATGCCTGCCCTTCTCATACACTGGTATATCCCTGGTCACTCCTTAAGAGTCAGCTGCAGTTATCACTTCTTCTGCAGTGCCTTCTATTTCCTCTTCTCCACTGCCATCCCAGCCTCCACACCCTTCCACCCAGACAGAATTCCAGAGCCTCTGCTTCCCCTATACTCCGAACAAACCTCTACTGCAGCCCCTGTCCACTGGGACTATTATCATCTGAGTACATGTCTAACTCCTTCAGGGTAGGGACTGTTTTTCCCCCCTTATAATAAGTGCTCAAGAAACTTTTGTTGCTACAAGAAAGAAACAAACTGATGTGTTAGGAAATACAAAGGCTTTCCTAGAGGACAATGCTGTTTCCTAAACACCATATCTCTCAGCCCAGGATACAGACCTGGAGAAGTGATAATTCAAGGCTGCTATTTCATGTTGCTGACTAAAGATGAATTCATGTGCTTTGGAAATCTGACAAGTGGGAGATAAAACTGATGTTCTATTATGAAAGCTTAGCAGCCTTAGGTAGAATGCTGCTACCTCACCTTCCTGGTCCTCAGCTCCACACAGAGGCACAGACTAAATACTAGTAAATAATTCAATTCTAGATGTTAGACATCACTGTAATCCCACTGTAATTTATGTCAACCAATCACTTCCTATAGGTGAGTCAGTAATAGCTTTCTAGGGACAAACTTAAAACTTTCTGTTGATACACAGGTTGAAATTTGGCCTTTAATATGTTAGCCTTAACTTTGTATTTAACTGTGATGGCTAGATATGTTGGGGAAAATATTAAGATTCTAGGAAGTGGATTTAAGTTTTCATTTAATAGTTACTAACTGCTGTTTATCAGTCAATCTGCCTTAAGGAAATTAGAAAAGGCACCAAATGAAGTATCACCCTAGTGGGAAATAAATAACACATTTTAGGTTTTACAAGAAATAATTTGGATGTTCTAAAAGTTAGGTTAAGTTTTATAGAAAGAAATTTTGTTATGAAACAAAAGGCATGATCAAAGCAGAGAAAATAGAAACCAAATTGGTGATTTAAATACACCGTCATAAAGACTAAACTTGTCATCATGTTAAAACTATCAAGATCCTTTCATAAGAGATCAGACCTTCACTACTGAGCTCAGATGCAAAACTATCATAAATAAAATTTTAACAGTTGCTATCTCATTTAGAAACTCAGCTGAGTAATGCCCATGCCCATTTCTAATGTTCAAATGGGCAGCTTCAAAGGAAAACCCCCCAACAATGTTTAAATCTTAAAAGTTATCAAAATAAAAGATAGCCCGTGGAAGTTACCAATTTAAAATGGCATTAAGAGTCTCCCTAGTAAGAGTCACAACCACGGTCAGGTGACTAGCCAAAGGAAGATTTTAGATAAGAAGAATCAGGGGCGAGATGGAGTGGGGTGGAGAAATGTTTAAACAAACCACCACAATTCAACCTCAAGAGGCATAGGGGCATGTGTAACAAACAGGTGTGCTGGCCCAGGGCAAGAGCCATGGTTGGTCAGGTCTCCTGCCCCAGCATTGCTTCTTACTTCAAGTGAGCCTCTTGAAAGTTATCTGGACCTTGCAGGCCCCAGAGCTTTGTTTATGATCACCAGATGGGCTTGAGGTTCCCCTAATTGTATCTCTGACAGATTCTACCCTGTGTACTTGTGATTCTCAAAACAACATGCTCAGAACAATAGCATTAATATAACCAGGAAATTTGCCAGAAGGATATATTCTTAGGTCCCATGCCATATACACTGATTCAGAAACTCTGGGACCCAGGAATCTGTGTTTTCAATACCACATCCAAGTGATTCTGATGCACATGTTCAACTCTGAGAATCATCAATCTAATCCTGAGGTTCTCAACAAGGGGTGATTTTACTTCCTTCCTCTTCCCCATCCTGGAAACATTTTCAACTGTCACAGTGGGGGAAAAGAGGAAGTGCTACTGTCATCTAATGGGTAGAGGCCAGAGATGCTGCTAAATGTCTTACAATGTGCAGGAAAGCCCCTACAACAAAGAATTGTCCAGTCCTAAATGTCAGTAGTGCTGAAGTGGAGAAACATTCATTGCTTGGGACCAGTGGAACAGAGGTGAGGCCCAGGCAAAAGCTGGAACTGATGGTTTGGCCTTGTCTTCTGCTCAGGAAGGTCTAGGCCATGTTAGGATTATTGCAAGTTAATAGTCACAAGCAATTTCCAAACCAGTTAGAAGATATCTTTCCTACCTTAAACTTGGGTAACATGGATGAATCAGAACCAAAATTTTAGTAAATATTCTTCATAAATGCTGATTGATCTGACCAGAAGCAGCAGAGTTAACAGAAGGTCAGATAAACAGTTTTATAAAAGAAAACATTACAGAACTGTGTTCCCAACAGTCATTCCCTTGGGAAAACTGGAGGAAAAAGTTGCTTGGTTGCTTCTAGGAACCATACAGAAAAGATATATTTTCCCATCCTCTTAACATACTGCTAGCCAACCAAACAGACCTGGGCTCCTGGGAACTTCGATGCAACCTGGGCAACATCATGGAAAGTTTCCTTATCGCCGAAGAAGCGCTCTGCAGCTGCTCCCTTCCCCATGAAGTGAGTGAAGGCTTCTTTCAGATCATTCCTTGAGTGCAGGATGGAGTGATCTTTCCCATCCCCAGGATTCAGGCCAAGTGCCTGCAAAAGCTTCACCCCTGAGAGCACCACATCCACACATGCATTGACTCTGAAAGGAAGGACATAGATCATGAGATAAATTAACCGAAATCCTACTCCTCCCCTTCCACTCTCTAAGAATCAATAGAAAAAATATCCTCTGGTGAGGATTTTAACCAGTTAACTGACATGATATTTTGAATTTAATTAGAAAGGTCTGCTGCTTGTGTCTATAGATGCCTATGGCGTATAAGTGGTTAAAAAAAAAAAAAAAGAAGAAAGTTCTGGCTTGTATGTCAGTGTTTCTTTGCTAAAAGTCATACCCTAAAAGAATGACTGAATAATTTGGGTAGCTAGTTGAGGTCTTTCCACTGCAAGTCACTATTCCTGCCTCTGCCAAGTGGGGATGTTATTCTTGGCAGTGGGGCTAATGACCACATAAGCAGCTCCTAGCCTCTGAGAAGAGCAAGGCTCATAGCAGGCCAATCAAAAACAGTTCCTGGTGATAAAGGTGGCTGGGCTTCCAGGTTAATACTGGGCAGCTTTGAAACCAGAAGGTAAAATCATCAATATAGGGAACTGAATGGATTGAATTTTAATGTGAAATATATAACTATGTTTATCTTCTAGTTGCTTTAAAAAAATATCTTGATCTGGAAATTAATACACCAAATCATTAATGATTGCAAACTCTAAGAGGAATGAGACTGTGGTAAGGAGAGGAATTTTATTTTTTTATTAGATATATTTCTAATGTTTATAAGCACATATTACTTTTCTAACTTAACAAGTAATATTTTTTTATTTGTTTTTGTTAATCCTCACCTGATGATATTTTTTTCCATTGATTTTCAGAGAGAATGGAAGAGAGAGAGGAAGGGAGAGAGAGAAACATTAATGTGAGAGAGACACGTTGATTGGCTGCCTCCCACATCCACCATGACTGGAGCTGAGAATTGAACCTGTAACCCAGGTATGTGCCCTTCCTTGACTTGTGAACCTGTGACCCTTGAGTGCATGGGCTGACAGTCTAACCACTGAGCAACACAGACCAGGGCAACAAATAACAATTTCCAAAGGTTTGTATGTAGGCTAGATATTATTTACAACACTCAAGTAAGGCTTACAAGGTTTGGAAAGAGACACATCCCTCCTCATGACAGAAAATGATTGAATCCTCATGGTAAAAATTCTTTTATTGTTCCTCCTCTATGGAGCCTATATTTAAGAAAGAATTTTGTCTACAAAAATTTAAACACCTAAATACTCAAATTTTCTTATTCTTTTACAATCAAGGACACATAATTACTCTGGCCAACTAGGAAAGGCTCTAAGCATTAGCATGCCTTTTAGAGCATAAAACACACTGACATGCATGTGGCAGGTGCTGAAAAATATGTTTAAAATAAATTTCCTTCACAGCCTTATATGATAATAAACCAAATACACCTTGTAAACATGTCCCAATTCCACCTCAGACAGTATCCTGTATTCCTACAAATGCAACATTAGATGTCTATAGGGTAGAATCTTAGTAAGAATACAGGAATCCTTGACTTTAGTAGGTTTCAGACAGTGAGAGTTTGGATAGCCAGGGATACTATTTCCACCAAACAGTTCTACCTGGAAAGTGTATCCAAATGGATTTGGGTCCTGAGTCTGTACAGTAAAAATTCAGATATTGAGAGATACCCATATTTGGAAATAATGACTTCAATAAACACATCATCTTCATATCTAGTTCTGCTGAGACCTTAAAAGTGTGATTCTTCAAAGATGATAATAATGGAGAAATCTGAGTTTGCAAAAGTTACAAAATAATAAATCTGAAAGAACAATGTTCAACATATTTTGCAACACAAGACAAAACACAACAGGGCTAATTTTGAGTTTAAAAAATCGTGAGTACCAAGGTAACATTTAAAAAAAAAAAAAAAAAAAAAAAAAAGAATAGGGCTTCCTGCAACCTGAATGAAGCAGAGAAGGAGTGAAGCCTGCCCAGGCGGGCTTCCCTCCTGCCGCCACCCCTCTATTTTTCCTCCCTCTTCCAAGCTGTCTTTCAGTCTTTGCTCTGTGCCTGAGAATGCAAATTAACTGCCATCTTTGTTGGGTTAATTTGCATACTCACTGATTGGAGGGTGGGTGTAGCAGAGTGATGGTCAATTTGCATGTTTCTCTTTTATTAGTGTAGATATATATCCTTATTGATTTCAGAGAGGAAGAGGGAGACAGAAACATCAATGATGAGAAAGAATCATTGATAGGATGCCTCTAGCATACCCCCTACCGAGGATTGAGCCCACAACCTGGGCATATGCCCTTGACGGGAATCACATCTGGAACCCTTCCGCAGGCTGATGCTCTATCCACTGAGCCAAACTGGCTAGGGCTAAAGTAACATGTTTCATTCCCGTCCCCAATCATGCCATGAATACCAGGGGGAAAACAATCTTATAGAAGAAAACTTTGTATTTGGTCACTCATAAAAATAAAAAGATCACTGACATCTACTATGTGCCAATCTTTCTGCAACAGGCCTCTAGTGTATATATATGTGTTTTCTAGATATATATTATTAAACTTTAACAAGAGTAGGAATCTTTCTCTGCACTTACCTCATGCAACAGCATACTAAAATGTAAGCAAGCACATTGTTTACAGGCTAATGTGCTTTATTATCATATCTAATAAAGAGGGAATATGCTAATTGACCCTCATGCCATCGCAAAGATGGCAGCACTCCACAGCCAATAGGAGGGAATATGTTGACTGCCCCACTCTCAAAGATGGTGGCACTCTCAGCCAATAAGGAGGGAATATGCTAATTGACCACCATGCTCTCAAAGATGGCGGCGCTCACAGCAACAAGATGGCAGCTCCCAGTTCCCTCAGCCTCTTCTGCCAACCCCTTGCACCACCTCCAGGCAGGCCTGGCCATTCTGCACACCTGCCTCCAGAGTCCCCCGTCCACTTAGCCCCCCAGCCACCCAGGGCTGGCCAGAGGTGCAGGCAAGCCTCGGATGGTGGCTGCCTGGACGCCTGAGGCTGAGGTAACCAGGGCTGGCTGAGGCTTGCGCTACAGGCAATGGCAGCAGCAGAGATGTGATGCAGGCATCGCCTTCCCCTGATCACCAGGCTGAGGGACCCCTCCTCCAGTGCATGCATTTTCATGCACTGGGCCTCTAGTTAGGAAATAAAGGGAGTGAAGGGACAAAAGAATCAGAAGACAAAATTATGCTTATGTGACAGGCAGAATTTCACACTTTAGTTTAAAAAAAAGTATATATATATATATATGATTGTAATGTGTTTGGAGAAAATATAGACACAGAAGAAATAACTGGAAAATAAAAGGAAGACAACAAATGTTGAATACCCAAACAAGAGGCTGAAGGGGCAAGCAGAGGGAGTTGGAAGACTGGGCTTCCTTGCCTATTATTAGAGACAGGCTGGGGGCAGGGAAGGGGACACAGTTCTCCCTTTTACCCTCTAAATTCCTTAAAGGCACAAGCAATGGTTCTTACTGTTATAGTAGGCAGCTAGAAAGATATGAGCTGGGAAAGGTTGGGAGAGGCAGCTGGGACTTGGAGGGAATACATGTGAGACTTGACAAACTAAAAATAGACAATGGAGGTGGTGGGCCCCTATGTGAGCAGGAAAGATTCAGAGCCCTCCAGGATGTATTCTAACTGGTGGCAAAACACCTAGGTGAAGGAACCTTATAACTTAGAGATGCAGTGTGTGTGTGTGTGTGTGTGTGTGTCTTTTGAGAAATAAGGGAAGGGGAGACTTACTGAGTGGCACTCCAGTCTCAAACCCCACCCAAACTTGGTTTTGTTTCAGCCACCTGAGTTGCCCACTCAGGTCCTATCTGAGTGTATTTCTTTCCTACAGATAAATCCTGTGTGTTTTTGCTGCCATTTGTTGTCTCTTGTTTGAATTTATTCAAGCAAGACAAGAACTGGGGAAGCAGAATACTTTCTCTGGCCAGAGACCCCCTTGACCACTGATGGCATTATCACTTCCCTTCTGTTTCATCATCTGTAAAATGTTTCTTAGGGTTCTTTTAAGCTGTAACACCACACCTGAGATATTAAAAGAGTTAATCACAAGTACTACAAAGTAGAGAACTGTAGAAATCTGAAAGGGAAGAGGCAATAGTCCCAAGGCTGACCCTTGGATGGTGCTCTGGAGAAAGAAGGCAGGCATTTTCAGGTAAATGACACCAATTTGCAAAACATCGTAAGACAGGAGAGTAGTCATCACCACTTTCCACTGAGAAAAAGGAGTCCTCTAACATTCCAAAGGCCATGGATGGAGAAGCCAGTTTCAAACCGATTTATCTGACACTGAAGCTTAGGCATTAACTTTGTGTTTGGACACCATAAGAATGTTGATCTAGTCAGAATAGAGTGTTTGAGTAAGGAGAAGAGTAAGATAGGTTTCAAAGGTAAGGGTGAAGCCAGGTATGGGGGAACATAAAGAGATTGTTCCCAAGTTAAAGGGTTCATCATTCACCTAATGAGCCTTCGGTATCAGGTCTGATTTGAAGCGGGAAGGTGAGGCATGTTCTAGAAAGATGTGGTGGTAGACTTGGCACTGACAATTTTCTTAAAACTTCTTTTATCCTATATTTCTCTGGTTCTGATCCAACACCTTACATGACAGTCCTCCCCAAATGCCATCCTTGCCATGCACCTTACTTTCTTGTTTTCTTCTTGGGTGATGCTATCCACCTCTGGCTTCAACCTAAGTTCTGACATCAAAATCTACAGCCGACCCTACTATTCCTCAATATACTCCTAACTCCAGGCTCTTGTAGTCAGCAGCTGTGGCTCCCTTTCACTTGCAATTCCACACCATGTAAATTTCCCCTCCTTTGAAATCAAACTGGTTACTTTGCACCACAAATTTGTTCCTTTTTCTTAATCTCTTAATTGCAACACTGTGGCATGAACATGGAGGGGCCAGGAATGGGTTGGAGTTGGGCTTCTGGCATTTGCTAATTGTGGTCTTGGGCAGTCCACCCTATGCTTCTGCCCCTCCCACCAGTGTCAATATACTTTCTTT